TGTTGTTCTCCTTGGTGGTCTGTGATTCTCAACACGAGGAAAGAGAATTCCTAGGTGTTGGAGAATTTGAGTCTTGTAAAGGTTACAAGCATAGTGAAAAATCTCAAGTGGGTGACTTGAGGACTGGATGTAGGCAAGGTTGGCCGAACCAGTATAAAATCAAGTTTGCAATTCTCTATCCTATACTTTTAATTTTGTTGTGATGTTTTTGCATCATTACGTACAAATTGTTTATGATATTGATTTTATAAGAAATAAGTTAGAAAAACTAATAAAGAGAAGAAAAATTATATAACTTAATTCACCCCTCTTAAGTTACACGAGGCTACTTGACTAACATTATCTAATAAAAAGTTTTTAAGGAATTAAACCAAAACATTTTAAATATATGAAACCAAAGTGAAATTAAAATAATAATAATAAGTTAATAAAAAAAATATTTTAGCCCATTTGATAAGAAGGTAATTGCACATCTCTTATAATTTTGTGTCATTGCTATGGCCGAAGACTCACAGATTATTGGGTGGGGAAAAATTGGGAATTATGTGTGAATGCTAGAATTCTGTCTTATTAAACATGATAGACAGATGGATTTTGTTAATAAGTAATAACTAGGGATACTAATTTCAATCAATTTAAAAATAATTTAAAATTTAATTTAATAATTAATTTATTAAATTTAATTTAATAATTAATGAGTTAAACTTCAACTAAAAGTTGAGTTCATAATAAATAAATTGAATTTGAGTTATATATAATTCAATTTAATTTATCAGCTGATTTGATATATAGATATATAATTTATTAATAACTAATTAGAACAGTATATGTGAGAAAAAAAAACTCTAAAAAAGGAGAAAAATTCCAATAGAATAAAATGTAATGATAGTACAGTTAAAATACAAAATTGTCATTTTACTAATAACTAATTAGAACAGTACATGTGAGAAGAAAAAAAAACTAAAAAGGACAAAATATTCCAATAGAATAAATAATAGTACAGTCAAAATACAAAATTGTCATTACAAGTTTTAACCGGGAAATCAAACTCTCATAATATGACAATAACACGATTGGACTGACAATTTTATTATAAACTCTTAACTACTGTCTTGTTTGATTAAAAAAAATAAAAAATAGGGTAGAAAGAGTAAAAATAAATGAAATTATTTGATCAAGAAAAAAATAAAAGAATAAAAAATTAAAAGGTAATGATCTATCCTTTTATTTATTTATATTTATTTATTTCTCATCTTATATATATATATATATATATATATATATATATCTTATTTTTCATATATTTTACATCTATTTCTCTTTAATCAAATAATTAAATTTTTATTATATTTCTCACTTATTTCTTTTCTCTTTACAAACACACACCTAATGAGATTATGCTACAAATTCTTTTGGTCATTAATCAGTTATGCATTTATGTGGGCTCCAATTTTCAATAATCTCGTTAATCAACTGATATATTACAAGAGTTTGAATAGAATCGTTTCTTGTCTTATTTTTATTTTTTTATATAAAAAAAGTTCACAATTACAATCTTGTAAATGTTTTTTTTCTCCACGATGAACAATTTTTCTGTGAACATATTCATGCTATTAATGACAAGTTATGGAGTATAGTCTAAACTTGTTGATAGTGGTGATGAAACTAAATTCATGCAGAAATTAATAATTGGGTCATGCAGCTTTGTAGGTTACTGACACCAGAAGAACATCATGCAACATGGGAGCTACAATACATGAGAAGATTGGTACCTCAAAGCTTGATTCAATACATAAAACAAAAGTGAATTGAGTTTCTTGTTTTAAGATAAAAAGATTATGCTTCTAATTTGGAATATAGTTTGATAAATTTTTCTAAAAATACATATAAGAGATAACAATAAAAAGAAAAAAATAAAACAAATCATTTCATAAATTAAAATTAATACATCGATATATTAATTTGTAAAAACTTTTTCATATCCGTTTCTCCTAAAATTTATAAATTAATTTAAATATATAAATATTTTTAAAAATATTTCTGAAGAAGTTTATTAAACTATGTTTAAGTAATAAATGTAAGTTTTTATGTAAAATAAATAATGACAATTTTTTCATCACCAAACCAAGTTATAATTGATAAAAAAAAGCAGTTAAAATTGTTTAAAATTAAATAATTGTATACACTCCTACGCGATTGGTGATTTATAAATTACTTGTATGTTTGGATTTTAGTAAAAACGTAAATGCTAAACCAGTTTAATAATTAATAGGAAAGTCTTTAATGGAAATCACAATAGGAATGCATTTGATCCAGTTTTTCTTATTCAAGTAAGAATTTTAAGAAAAAAATATAAATTATTAAAAAAAATCACTTTAAATTAAAAGAGACTTAAATACATTTTTGTCCTTTAACTTAAATGCATGAATAATTTTGATCCTCATAATTTTAATTGCTCAATTTTGGTCCACACATTTAAAAAAAATGGAAATTTTAGTCTCACCACCTAATTTGTGCCGCATAAATATTTAATGTGACATTGATTATTTATTTTTTGATAAAATCAATTTATTTAATATACAATAATTTGTAAAATATGTTCATAAAATATTAAAAAGTTGACTCATAAAAATTAAATAAACAACTTCATGTCACATGCTTATGTAGGTTAAATTTTACAATTTAGTAAATCTTGATTGATTGGAATTGCAACGTACGTATCACATATGTTAAAAAAAATGGATGGTGAGGCAATGATAAGATTAAAAATGTTTTTTTTTTTTTAAATATAGATTAAAATTAAGTGGTTAAAATTATGAGGAATAAAATTACTAACACATTAAAATAAGATAAATATTAAGTTTAAATATGTTCTTAGTCTATATAAAATGAATGAGCTTTAATTTTGGTCATTGTAACATTTTTTATTTGTTTTTTATCCTTTTATTTTTTGTCATTATAAAATAAACAAATTTTGTTTTTGATCTCTGTAACTTTCTTTTTTCA